AATTTTAAAGGATAGACTTTGGTCAAAATAATGAAGAAATGATTTAAATTAGAAATTGAACAGAGTATATCTGATATTCCAAGGCAGTGTGCAATCTAGCATCTTCTGTACTGAGTGCTATCAGTACTTTGTCTTAGTTGCTATGATGTCACTACACTGAGTGGTGGTTTGGGACATTTGAGTGTGAACTATTCAAGATCAGCTACATATCTGGACAGCCTGAGTCTCAGCACAGCCACTAGACTGAAAACTTGTGTTAGTTGCACAATTAATGGATGAATCAATGGGTACCCAACCTGCTGTTTGACTGTAATTTCTCATTTGTGAAGACCTAGTTTAGATTTCATCTGCTTGATAAAAAAAACCTTTGCTTTTCCTCTTCTGTGAGGAATCTCTGTCGACTGTAAGGCCTGAATTGAAACTAATGCCCTGCTCTTTCCTTTAAAACATTGCCCAATGGATTTCTGAACTGTAGGGTATAGGGCGAGGCCAGATATCATTCTGGTAAGCACTTTCCCAGATTTTCTCACATGATCAGTACTTTATAAACATGTATTAAATTCAGTTGCATTTAAGTTTTACAAAATTATATTTATGCAGCCTCAAACATTGTAGCTGAGGTGTTAATCCTAAATAAACAGAACCCAAAAGACAATGTATCCTTATAGTTCAGGTATAAGAAGAAATCATATTCCTTTAAAAGGCTTAAGAGTTTCAAAATCAAATTATACAGCATCTGTGATATTAACTTAAAGTAACTGGCATCTAAACAGTGGGAGTAGAATTCCATAAGCTATCTGTTATTCTTCAACGTTGATTTGCTTTCCCTGTGTTGTTTCTTATGGACAACATAGTGAACAATGCCTACCCTGCCATCTTCAGGCAATGCTAATTTTATTTCCCCTTAATGTTTATACATTTATTTGGAAGAAACTCTTTTATTCCTAGATGAACTTGTGAGTAGCACTGTATGTGAATGCTGTTACATGTTTGTACACCATATTCTTTGTTTTTCCAATTAGAGATAACAGGAACTTCTGTGGTTGTGTTAGAAATAATCAGGAACTTTCTGTGTGGTGTCCATACCACAACCTTCATAATTATGTTTCCTTTGTGCATATATGAGATTAGTTTACACTAAAAACAAGTTGATATTTCTCAGTTCATACCCAACATTAGTTCTTCCTCTGCTAGGTATTAAGGATAAATATCTTTGGATTAGAAAAGACAATCTTGCAGGTTATCCTACACTTGTATATATGATTGCAAATTAAATTATTGTTGTCTTCAATACTTATGAAATGGTTCTGGTATTCTAGACACTGATGAAATAGTAGTCACCAAGCAAAGCCTTTGTTCCTATGAAGCTTAGTTATTCTGTTATGTAGTTGCTGACCAAAGAAGGTAACAGCCCAGGTTCCAGTGGTATGAAAGGATTCACATAGACTCAACATGAGTGGAACCAGTAATAATGCAAAGCCATGGTCACAGAACATTTCTCTGGGGGTGATTTGGAAATGGACTCAGAATGACAAGAAAGAAGCAGTCATGTGCAGATCGTGGAGAACAGAATGCTAGATGGAAAACATAGCCAGGACAAAAGGAAGGAGCTTTGTGTGTTTGCAGAACAGAAGAAAGGTAGATGCAACAGGCATGTAGCCTGCAAGGGAAGGTTGTGGAAAGAGAATGTTCTAGAAGAAAGTGATAGTCCCGATATAGCCTGTGGTCAGGTCAAGGCATAGAGTTTTGTCTGCCTGTCATTAAAGGATCCGAGGGAAGATAGCTGCCTCTTACTTTTCTAGACCCAAGTATCTTCTCAAATGGCCTAGAGATACTGTTGAATGGTGTGACTGCTTCTGGCTAGCTCCCCCACTTGCATAGCACCCAGGCACACTATAGCTTGACTCAAGACACTAGGATACCATTCCTCCTTGCATAGTCTTCTGGGCCTGCCTTTGTGGTCATTTCCACTAGTAGAGATGCCTGTGTTGTCTTCTGGGTAACAAACAAATAATACTTATGATCACCTGCAAAAGCATATATCAATTGAACACCTTTAAAAGTTCATTTTAGCCAGGTGCCAATGGCTCATGCCTACACTCCTAGCTACTCAGGAGGCTAAGATCAGATAATCATGGTTCAAAGCCAGCCCAGGCAGGAAAGTCTGTGAGACTCTTATTGCCAATAAACCACTCACAAAACCAGAAGTGGTGCTGTGGCTCAAGTGGTAGAATGCTAGCCTTGCGCTGAAGAGCTGACGGACAGCGCACAGGCCCAGAGTTCAAGCCCCATGACTAACAAATAAAAAGTTCATTTTATTCCTTTTTATTGGTCACTTGTTTATAAATATGAGCTATATGCAAATAAAGGTTACTTCTTAACAAGGAATTAGGTCATAGAGAATGTGTGTGTGTGTGTGTGTGTGTGCATATATCAAAGCAATGTTGTACAAATGTGCTAGCAAAAAATATTCACCTTGGGGCTGGGAAGGTAACTCGGTGGTAGAGTGCCTGCCTAGCATGCACAAAGCCATGGGTTCAATTCCTCAGTACCACATAAGCAGAAACAGCCAGAAATGGCACCATGGCTCAAGTGGTAGAGCTGTAGTCTTGAGCTGAGGAGCTGAAGGACAGAGTCCAGGCCCAGAGTTCAGGCCCCACAACCAACAAAAAAAATAGAAAATATCACCTCAATGAGAATGTGTTCAACCTGTTGTGATCTATATTATTAAGTAATGATCCATAAATAAATGCATATGTAATTCTGGAGCATAGCTTTTTTCTACAAAGAATATAGCATCTGACTGATCACCCCTTTTGACTTAATTCCCCATATATTTGACTCTTAAATATTGAGTTAAGCTATGAGCAGCTCATAAGCAAACTTGACATAATATTTTATTGCTGACAAGAAATGATACCAAAAGAAAGTTTGGTGTCATTGAAGTTACTAAATTTATATGAGCTGCAAAAGTAGTCAGATCTAGTCCACTCATTTTCACCTTAGGCCATCGATAAGGAAAATGCCATTCCTTTCCCACCTCCCTTGCTGTGTGCAGAGAAGCCTAACACAGCAATTAATGGATATTGTTGGAAGCTTGCATGGTTGTCATCTTGCTGAGGTTTGGGAATCAGGGCCTAAGGGAGGGTGTAAATTAAAGTAAGGAGGGCGAAGATGGGGAAGGTCCATTTTCACAAAGGAAAAGCAACTCAGTGGGAGTGGAGGCTGGCAATCTGCTAAAAGGAAATGAAAGGAAATTCTTCATTTTTAAATGGTTCATTGACCCATGATAATAAAGCAGCCCTGCCAAAGAAGGATAATTATCTTTTTAAGTATCAGATGCCCTGTGGGTAAAGTCCTCCCTTCATCTCTCTTAAAAAAATGAACTCAGATTAAACAAATGCCCCCTTTCCCTAGTTTACTGTTGACGTGAATTTCCTGATTACGAGCAAAATTAATCACTTTCCTCTTTCTTTCTTTCTTTCTTTCTTTCTTTCTTTCTTTCTTTCTTTCTTTCTTTCTTTCTTTCTTTCTTTCTTTCTCTCTCTCTCTCTCTCTCTCTCTCTCTCTCTCTCTCTCTCTTGCTTGCTTGCTTGCTTTCCCTTCTCTTGTGGAAATCAAGCCTGTCTAGCTGAGCCTTTGACATTTTCTTTGGGCCCTGAGTTCTACCAATGGTGTGACAGACTAAAGTGTGTGATAGTCTGGTGAGACTAACAATTGCAGGACTGGGGTTTTTTTGTTTGCTACTGAGCTCTAGGCATAATCATGCTTTCTTAAGGCAACAAGGAAAATGGAGAAGAGAATGAAATAGAAAATACATACAAGAGAGTTTTTTTTCATTTTTTTTCCTCCCACTATATCTGAAAATTAAACTACTATTAATAAACACTATATCTATAGACATAGGCCCTAATTTAAGATGATGTGACTTAATTTCTCAACTTTACAGTGATGGGAAAGTATCCCTATGCAACCATTCTGTTTTTAGCTTTCAGTACAAAATTCAATAAATTGAATGAAATCTTTAGTATGCTCTTTTAAATTAGGCTTTGTGTTAGATGCTTTTGCCCATCTGTAGGCGTATATAAATGATCTGAGAAGGTTTGAGGTCAGCTACGCTAAGCTGTGATATACAACAGATTAGGTCTTAAATGCGTCAGTATATAATGGACTAATTGGGATGTAAACCTTTCATAAGTAGGGGATCTACATAAACACACCACAAATACATGCATATGTATGTGTGTGTATGCTCATGTATGAGTTCATGTTCAGAAATGTCGATGGTATAACAGTAAATATCAATTTATTACCAATAGGCAACTGACTTATATCACTTTCCTAAAGACAAAACATGTTTTGTCATAACTTATGAAGTGCTTTGCCATTATGATAAATACCCTTGTCTTTAATTATTTACCTTCAAAATACCTTCTTGGAGTCTGAATAATAAGTCTGAGAAACCTTGTCATAAATTAGCCCGTGATCCATTTTTACTTGATGAAACTCACTGTACCTTGTTAGAATATCTTCACTCCTTTAAAAAAAAAGGAATATCAATTGCTATCATATATTCACTTCATATTTTCTGTTGTTTCTCTAAAAGGAAACTTGAAATCTTACTTACAATGTTCCCTACCATAAGTAACCTCCCAGATGCCAGTTGTGTCACCAGCATGGGCCCTGGGGCTGCTGAATGAAAGGACCTTTAGAAGAGGGGTGGGGAGATAAAGGTGAGAGGAGATCTCACCTCCTGGGGTAATTATCTCACGCTCCACATTAATATCTCTTCTCCTGAAAGACATTCTGCATATAACAGCTTCTCTATTGAAGTCGAATTAACCATGTTTTTAAGTCCTCTTTGCCCATCTGGGAGTTCAGTTCTTGGTAAAATGTGTTTGCTGGTTCTTTAGTCTGTGAGAGGTCAAGGGGAATCAGGACTAGGGGGATGATGTATTCTCCAAAGCCAGCTGAGTGTGCCTTAACACCCCTTGCTCCAGATGTCCTCGTGTGCCCTCTGCGGCCAGTGGCACGCTTTGGAGACCTGCGTCCCGATGAAGTGGCTGACTTGTTTCAGGCGACCCAGAGAGTGGGAACGGTGGTGGAGAAGCATTTCCAGGGGACCTCGCTCACCTTCTCCATGCAGGTGAGTGCATGGATTGCCCAGAATTTTTTTTTTCAGGTTGAATCCTATTCTTGTACTCTCTACCCCTGACATCTCACCAGACAGTCAGATGCTGCCCACCCTATGTCAGTGGCTCCTGCCTGGAATCCTAGAGACTCAGGAGGCTGAGATCTGAGGATCACAGTTTGAAGCCAGCCCTGGCAGGAAAGTCCAGGGGACTCTTATCTTCAATTAACCACCAGAAAACCTGAAGTGGTGCTATGACTCAAAGTGGTAGAGTGCTAGCTTTGAGCAAAAAAGGAAAAAAAAAAAGCTCAGGGATAGAGACTAGGTAGGTAGAAAATTAGCAATATTCCAGTGCATCCAATAAGCCAGGTATAATGGTGCATGCCCATTTTCTCAGCTATCTGGGAAGTATAGCCCCTGATAAAAACCTGACACCCTATCTGAAAAATAACTAATATAAAAATGGACTGAAGCCATGGTTTAAGTGGTAGGAGGCCCTGAGTATTCAAATTTTAAAAAGAAATAAAAGACATTCCTGATCTGGTTTGGACAGATCATTTTCTTCCATAATAAATATGTTTTGACTATTCATGTGCTGAGTCCTGCTCTGGTTCCAAAGGAAAAATAATATGCAAGCTAGTTTAAGCCTTGCCCTCCTACGGTCTGCTTCCTCCCTACTTTTAATGCAAGCTTCAGTGACCGACTATGTTTATAAATAGAGACTGATTAGGTATGGCCCACCCACAGTAAAGAAATTAGATTAATCACTGTGGATCTTCAGGTGGAAGGTAGACTGAAACTCTGCAAGTTGAAGCAGAACAATGGTAAGTCCTCAGCTAGGAGTTGGCCTCTCAGATCCTCATGGAGAGGATACATATAACCCTGTGTACCTCTGAAAAGTGATGGCTGTAGTTACCTTGGGAAGGAAATCAGCTATCCTGAAATGCAGGGACTGCGTTCTTGCCTCTTCAGTTAAATCTTCACTCTCTGCCACAGAAGTCCAGGGAGACCAGCTAAGGAAGCCAAAGCTTTGGTCTAAAGGTCTACGACTAAAATGCTTATCTCGTTCTCAAAACAACACAAAACAACCATGTGTTGAAACCATCCAAGCTTCTGCAGAAGTATTGCAATATGTGTGTGTGTGTGTGTGTGTGTGTGTGTGGTATAGCTCACTTCATTTGAGTCATCTTCAGGCAGGTAGTTCGCCTCAGAGTGAGTAGCTCAAGCTTATGTTACAAATTATATTTCCAGAGACCAGTGAGGATATTGTTGAGAATATCTACCAGTACAGAATGAAATTAGAAGACAATCCCTGATTATAGAAATACCAGTTATTTATTAGAAATACTGGTTATTTATGATGACTTACTACAGTATTAGTTCCATAACTATGAGGACTGGCTTGTGCGTAGATGGCTCTTCATATATATATAGTGTTGGGAAACTTCACTGTAGCTAGGTATATATTTCACAGTGTAGATGCATGGGCATCTACACAAATAGTTTCACAAAGCTGTATGGACCCATTCTTTGCATTGTAGTAGTTTTTTCCTGTTATGATATGATGCAGTACTGGCCTTTGAATTTAGGACCTCTAATTTGTTAGATATGTGCACTACCATTGATCCACACCTCCAGCCCTTTTTTGTGCTGTGTATTTTTGAGATTTGTTGAGTCTCACTTTCTGTCTGGATATATGAATGGTCAATAGTTCACCCATTTAGGCTTCCCATTGTAGCTGGCATGACCAGTGCATGCTACCACACACCGAGGTATAGGTTGAAAAGTGATCTCACAAACTTTTCTCAAGTAGGTCTCAAACTGTGATCTTCCATTCTCAGCCTCCCAAGTAGCTAGAATTACAGGCATGAGATACCACTACCCTGTTGTGATTTTTTTTTATTTCAGTATTGATTGTATAACTTTTTAAGTTGCCTGCATGACGCACTAATAGGATATGGCTCCAAGTTTGCAAAGAGCTGATGAACCAAGTTCTGCTTAATCTTTTCCACAGCCACCTGTCCCACTTGTCACGACCAGAGACCAAAGTCATCCGACCAAAGTCAGAGAATGCTAATTCCATTTTGGAAGTTCCAGTTGCTCAAGCCCTCTAGGATCTACTTTGACTTTGTATGATAGCAGGCAAGGAGGCAAACCTGCTCATTTCCATGTATGATAATAGTTTTGTTGGGCTTGAGAATCTGGGAGAAAGAACAAGTATGGAAAAAGAGTCCAGCTATAATGCCCCTAAGGGTTCTTCCCATAGGAAACACACCATCTTCTTGCTTAATGGATTGTGGTTCCATCAGATTTCCTGAGTTGAGACTTAAGTAATCAAACATTAATTAAACCACATCTGATTGAAAGATAACCAAAAGGTGTGATAACTTCACCTCCCCGAACATTTTCAGCCTTACTTTAATGCAATTAAAACGATAGCCAAGAGCCCAAGAGCATGAAAAGCAGCACAGGGGTTGGCTCACTGGAGGATTTATATCATTCTTATACATAACCTCTCACTCTCAGGAGGAAATGAGGAACTGTCTGGTCCCACACATTTGAACGGAATGGTCCCCAGGAGAATACTATAAATTAACACACAATGAAATTGGGTCTAAATTATTAACAGACGATATTTCTGAATAAGCAAGCGATCCCATCTATCTGTTCTCACTTATGATTTTTTTTTAAATTTTAGGATGGTCCTGAAGCTGGACAGACTGTGAAGGTGAGTGCTTATTATGTGCATGCAAATTAATAAGGGGCAATTATGAGAACTAATCAAAAAAAATCTCGGTGAGTCCTCCACAGCTCCTACCATTCCATTGTTATTTTCGAGGTCAAAGGGACCCCTTTGTGTATTAGAGCCATAAATCCTGACATTATAAACTCTGCCAAACAATCTGTTCCCCATTCGTTTACAAGACACTTACCTTTTGTAGTAAAATTATAACTGTGTAAATGCTAAAACAGAATCTAAATTAAAGAGTCCTAAACAGAAACTGAAGTTGAAGGGATTCCTGCGAGAGTCAGTCCAGGATATATGTCTCTTTGGGGTAAGTTTTTGTGGGACCCATGTGTTGAGACTGAGGTATCCAATGAAGTTCTGTACAGAACTACTCTTGCCTAGGCTTGCTTCAGGTAGCCAGGGAAGGGGGCCTCCCATCTCCCTTAGTAATTTTTCAATGTTCTCTCTACACCATCTTTTCCTTCCTAGGTATTTAATACCAAAGTTCAAACCTCATGGAATCAGTGGAGCTCAAAAATGGGCTTTTTAAGTGTTTTAGAGAAGAAGGAGGATTTTTTTATAGGGATAGTTTCTGATTCTGTAGTCAGACTACATTCCTGGCTCATTCTGTAGCTGGGTTCTAGTCTTCTCATGCAATTAAATATTCCTGTGTAGCTCCGTCTTAGGATGACTTGGTAGTCCTAAACATGGTTTTGGAAATCTAAAGCAAGTCAGACTGTGAGGGTAATGCCGTGTCTTGTGAAACAAAGTTTACCAACGTATAGTTCTCTGGCTGTCTGTGAGGAGAGAGGATGATGCCTGGTCCCAATTGGTGAGGCCGGTTCCCTTCCTGACCTTAGGTTGTATATGGCTTTCATGTTAAACAAGCTACTGTAGCACTTTCAAAATAAAATGAATGGGAAGTATCACTGAGGTGTGAACATCTAAAAGGGACTACTATCAGTGGGCCAGCAAATTCTTTAATAAACAAACAGATAATCTCTCTGGTGATTGCACACACACACAGGATATAGTATAAGAACATAGCAGGCTTTCAGTTTTCATCCACCCCTCTGTCTCGCTGCGACTTCAGGTTATATTCCAGATGCACAGATGCTGAACAAGGCAATGATCCCAACGGCTTCTTTTGCAAAATGGATTCTTGAAATGCAGAACACAAATGTTCAGATGTAGTTAATGGACTTTTAAAAACTCAGTGTTGAATAGTAAATGCCAGCCATACTGGACTAGTTAGATGCATTTTACACCATCTATATGATTCCATGTTCCCAGTCATTGAAAGCAACTGTTTAGTGATGGGTGTGTTAAGTGGAATATCCCGATTGACAATATGCACATATTAAACAGAGCTGAAATTTGTATAAATAGATAGGCTGTCTGATCCCAAGCTCTTACTTCAAAATTCTAAAGAGGGCATTAAAATTCTTTCCTATACAAATGGCCTTCTGACAAAAATGTAGATTAGTGGCTCCAAGGGACTGAGCAAAAAGAGGGATCAGGGGTGATTGCTAATAGATAAGAGTTTCTATCTGACAATAATGAAAATGTAGAACTTGATAGTTGTGACAGTTGTGCAACACTATGAATATATGATACTCTAGTGGCTCATATATATATATACATATATTATGTATGTATATGTGGTGTGTGTGTGTGTGTGTATGTGCCAGTACAAGAGTTTGAATTCAGGGCCAGCACAATATTCCTTAGCAAGTCGGGGAGTGGGGGGAGTGGGGGGAGTGGGGAGTGGCTAATTGGTGATGAGAATCTCACACTTTTCTGCCCGGGCTTGCTTTGAGCCATGATTCTCAGATCTCAAGCCTCCTGAGGAGCTAGGATTACAGGCGTGAATCATCAGTGTCTGGCTGACTCATATAGTGTAAATAGGTATTTGGATAGCTGGCTACAATGTCATATACCAGTCACTTCAGCTGGACAAGAGACTGAGATCGAGAGGATTAAGATTCCAGATTAGTCAGTTTCTTTCCTATCTCAACAGAAAAAACGGCATGGGGTTCTTTTTTCCTTTTAATCCCAGCCTTTGGCAGGAAGTGGAAATAGCAAGAGCACAGTCCAGACATGTATCCAGGCAAAAAACAATACCCTATCTCAAAATAACTGGTACAACCGAAGACCAGAAATGTGGTTTTGTGATAGAGGTCCTTCCTAGCAAGTGTGGGTCCCTGAGTTCAAACCCCTGAACTTCCCTCCCTAAAAGTCTGTTTAATATAGTACTTGAATTATTTGTGGATCAAAATGATAACAAAATGAAGTCCATAATTAAAAAAAAGAAGTATTGAATCTAGCATGGCTGAGAACATGGCCATAATGTTTCTGATTCCAACAGCAATAATTTTTGATGTCCTACTTAACTGACCAAAATTGTATGGCGTGCTAGGTACTCATGGCTCATTCCTGTAATCCTAATTACTCAGGAGGTTGAGATTTAAGGATCACAGTTCAAAGACAACTCAGGTAGAAAAGTCTCAATAAGACTCTTATTTCCAATTAAAAAACCAGAAGTGGAGCTGTGGCTCCAAGTGGTAGAGCACTAGCCTTGAGCAAAAGCTTGGACAGCACCCAGGACCCGAATTCAAGCCTCATGACTCTCTCTCTCTCTTTCTCTCTCTCTCTCTCTCTCTCTCTCTCTCTCTCTCACACACACACACACACACACACACCGAATTGTATGGCCTTTGTTAACTTTAGTAATGATAGCATTGAACTTAACATTGTATCCACACCACTTGTTGAAGGTAGTTCATATTCACCACCATTCATTTTTAACTCAATTTAAAAAAGAATAAGTGTATTTTCCTTTACTATCAGGTTGTTATTTGGGCCTCTTTTTTTGGTGCTGAAACTGTTACTTTAATTTAGGGCTTCCTTCACAGTTCTTTAACCTTTCTGCTCCCTGCTGGTACTTTACCACCTGAGCCATACTTCCAGCCCTCCTTTTGTCTGGTTAATAGAAGATACAGTCTGAAGGGATTTTCTGCTTGGTGTGGCTTTGCACATGGCACAAATCTCAGGCTCCTGAGTAGCTACGATTATAGGCATGAGACACTGGTGTCCGACTGTTTTGGACATCTCTTGTTTTCAACCTGCTTACAGAATTTCCTCTGTGTGGAATAGTAGGGCCATCTTAAACTCCTTTGTGGAATAGCATAGCTAGAAGAAAACTATCACACACACACACACACACACAAACACACACACACACACACAAACACACACACACACATATACACACCCTTAGGGAATAGTGAAGTTTGGATATCTGTCCTTTCAGATTAAGTCCACCCATCTAAAGGTGTGTAACCTATGTGTTTTTCAAACCATGATCCTACACCACCTGCATGAAAATTAACTTTGGTGTTGAACAAAAACAACAAGTTTATTCTCTGCCTAGGTAAAATCAGCTAATTTGGACTGTTGTGGTTGAGACTTGGGCATCTTCGGTATGCAGGAGCAGGCAGTCTGTGATTCTTTGTTTATCGTATGGCTACTTTGAAGCCTGGCTACTCTACGTGATAAAATAGTGACGGATGAGAGTCACGTAACCATGGCGGGGGGCAGGGGGGGAGCTAGTCTTAACAGTGAGCAGTCCCTCTGGGGGGCACAGCGCTGTATTTACTATTCAGCTGTCTGATCCTGAACCCTACAGTTCGAGACTGGGAGCATTTCACATTTTAAAATTCATACAGTTGTACATTTTGAAGCAGGATGTGACAGCCTGCCACACAAAACACAGGGCCCGCTCTCTTCATCTCTGCCTCTGTGTGATTCTCAGCGTTACGCCTCATGCCTGGCTTCTCAACCATTTTGGTTGCACGCTGAGTCATAATAGCAATAAGCACTATAATGGTCTTTTCCCCTGAAGCCAATGTTGTTATTGTTAATGAAGGTACACCACCGCGTTAGCCTCTTGAACATGATGCCACTTTGGGGGGGGTTCATTTCAGAAGCTTTGCAAAGTGCCTCGGTAAGGCACTTGGAGCAGGAAAGGAGAAAATATCAAAGTCAAAAAAGTGACCTCTTATTTTACAATTGATTATTAGCTCTCTTTGTCAGGTTTAAATGCCGTGGTTTGAGTGCCCTGCAGGTGTGAGAAATAATCTCTCTCTTCACACAGCCACTATAGCCCCACCCTCACCCACCATGAAATAGCACCCTGAACTGCCCTGTTTTCTTACTTGATTTATCTTTCTTTATTTCCAGTGTTTCTTGTTTGTAATTTTGTTGTCGTGGTGGTTTGTTTTTTTTTAAACCAATTCTTGGGCTTGTGCTCAGGGTTTTGTGCTCTCACTTGACTTTTGTGCCAACAGCTAATTCTATACGACTTGAACCATACCTTCAGTCCTGTGTTTTGCTGGCTATTTGGAAATAAAGACTCACAAACTTTTCTGCTTGGGCTGTGAACCTCTGGATCTCAGCCTCCTGAGTAGCTAGGATCACTAGTATGAGCCAGTGGCACTCAACTTGCTTGTTTCTTTACTTCCCTAAAATATATGCGTTTGCTTCATAAGGCTCTGGTTTTATGACTGGTTATGATGGGGCTCAGATTGTACTTATTGTCCTAAAGGCCACTTTGATATCATGAACATTTTAATAATGAAAACTGTGGGAACAGGGAAGCCCCTCTCTGGCCTTCTGTCTACCTCCTACCCTGAGACAGACCTTAGAAGAAACACCTAAACTGTCTACACAAAACTAGGTCGTGGCTGGGAAGGTGGCTCAGTGGTAGAGCGCTTGTCTTGCATGCGTGAGGCCCTGGGTTCAATTCCTCAGCACCACATAAGCAGAAAAATCCAGAAGTAGTGCTATGGCTCAAGTGGTAGAACCCTAGCCTTGAGTTAAAGAGCTAAGGGATAGCGCCCAGGCCCAGAGTTCAGGCCCCATGATTGACCAAAAAAAAAAAAACCAAAACCAAAAACAAAAGTAGGCCATAAGAGTCTTATTTCAGAGAGCCCAGGAAA